TATATATATATATATATATATATATATATATAATTACATTATCTCACATTGGATGTGCAACATAATAAAATTGTAGTTTTTTTTTAATTAAGAACAACGAGATTTGAATATAAGGTCTTGTACAAATTACTTAAATTCTTACTAGCAGATTAATTTAAATAAATTTTAATCAAATTGAAAGTCGGAACATATAAAATAAAGTAAAATCAAACATATTAAAATGATAAAATTATGTTTTAGTTATTGGATATGATTCTTCTAAGGTAATCATCCTACGGTTGAGGTAAATCATGTAATTTTAGTCATTAATAATAAAATTAATGTTCAATATTACAAGCGTGTACACACATATATGAAAGGGATTCATTTATTTTGAAAATAAGTCTTGGTATACTTATCACACTTAATAATTCTTGTTTTATATTGAATTTTAACAATTCTACTATTAAATTAGAAATTCTTAATCTATATAGATCAAGTTTACAAATTTTTGCAAAGTTTGAAAATCATATGATATTTCATTATTTATATTCAAATTAACATACAAATGTTTTTATGAATATCCAACAATTTGAATTAATGAAACAAAATATCAAATAGTTTCTAATTTGATATGAGAAGATGAAAATAACAATCCTTATATTAAAAGACTACAAATAAAATTATCACATAACATTCTATCGCTATCATGATTATTTCTATCACTATTATTGTCGTAACTATCATCATTGATATCACCACTGTCATCATCATCACCATCAATAGTGGCAACGATGGTGATGCAAAGGTGGTATAGTGAGAATGATAATGGTAGTAATAATGACAATAATAGTAATGTTGATGATAACAGTCACAATGACAATGGCGACAATAGTAATATGAACAAATTATTTCGTATATCTGTAGTTGACCAATGATTATGGTGTTAAACTCATTATTTTTTTTTTGTCAATATTACACTTGAAAAACATCTATAAACTATTTGTCCAAATTAGATTATGTAAGCACAGTAGATCATGTTGAGTCCATATAATAATTAATCTATGGTTTGTTGGCTAGTATATGTAAAAAAAAAAAACTTTTGAAGCACTTGTCTGTACTAAATGTAAATGACAAATTATTTTTTAATCATGTCATTATCCCCATTGCTTCCTATATCAGATTACCTGTATTGATCTCTTTATACCAAACAATAAACATGTCGCCTACTCCTTGGTATATGTAGGTTTTGAGGAGTAATGTGTTATGGACTTCTATGCCATCACCCATGTTTTGTTGTTACAAGTATTGGAGGTGTATGTTGTTTAGGGCCACAATGACAAATGTGCCCTACCCTATCAATTCAGTCTAGGCATGGCAACGGCGCGGGGCGGGGGCGGGTTTTACGTTCCCCGCCCCCGCCCTCGCAAATTTAAAC